GCTGTGATGCTGCTCTCACTGGCTGGGAATCTGCTTTTATCTACTGTCTAGTCACACTAGATAGTTCCTTGGACTGATCTCTTGTGACCATTGCTATGTTATAATCAATGGCATCACTAGCACCGTTTACTTGGACTGGGAACTAATTAATTTCACTGGTATAACCATGTTTATCTGTATGCACTAGGGCTACGTGATCCTTTTACAAACTACTGATCAGTTGCAGTACATCTTCAGTGTACATAGATGGGATTACTTTTGGGTGAGAACGGCTTGCCTTTAGCTTTTCTCATTTAAACTTGGAGGAGTACATGGAAAATAGGAATATACCACTTTTCTTTCTAAGGATATTCTAATGATAAATATAAAAGTTAAATCAATTTTATGAAGAAGTTTTTTGTAGCCTGTGTATCTTAAGGTGAATCACACTTTTGTATGTGTGTGTACGTGTCTGGTAGGGAATACCTGAACTTTCATCAGGAATTAGCATCCCTGTGGAGAAAGCTCTTCGTCCTTAAGAGAAGTATTTCATTAAGTGAATGTAATTTGTGAAACCTTTTGATTATGTAAATATAAGATTTATATTGAATATTCCAGTTCTTCTTCATATTCCCTTTTTTAAACAGTGGATTTTGCACAGCACGGGTCATAAGATGTAGACAAGCTCCCACAGTTGCAGACTCCTAGATGTCCAGGCACTTGCTAATATAATTAGTGGTTTGTTATGGAAACTGGGGACTCTTCTTCAGTAAACCCAGGATCCCTTCTGAAGTACCTTTTCCTTCTCTTGTAAGTATTCAGTCATTTCATGACCTTATCAGGTTTTACACTTGAACATCAAGAAAGTTCTTCAGTCCTAGGAGTAGCAACTTCTGACAACACTTCTAAGGTATTGTGGCATCTTTGAAAAACTGGAAGACTCTGTGTTCCTGTGTTAAATCTTTGGTAACCTCCTAGCCCTTAAATCACCGATTTGTGGAGGCTGAGTGGGTAGGCCAAGAAAGACTTGCCAAACATGCTGTACTATAACAAAATTTCCATTGATACCAGGTGTTAGGCGTTGCTGGAGACAGACTGCCCAGCTAGGTGGACCTGTACAGTATCCTTGATTTTGGAGGCTGGGGAGGGACCTCAGGAATTCATCTACTGCAACCTTAAAGCAGGCTCAGCACTGAATTCAGAGTTGGTTGCTCAGAGCTTTGTCCAGTTGAGTCTTGAAAATCTGCAACGGCAGAGATTTCACAGCTTCTCTGGACAACCTGGTCCAACACTTAATCATCTTTGTAGGGAATTTTCTTTTTCCTTATATTCACTTGGAACTTTGTCCTGTTTCGATTTATTCTGTTATTTTTTTTGTCCTCCCACTCAGCAAATAGCTCAACTGTCTTCTCAGTAGCTTCTCTTGGGTACCACGAGGCTGCTCTTAGGTCTTCCTCTCTTCTGCAGGTTAAGCCCAGTTCCTCCAGCCACTCTTCTCGAGTCATTTGCCCAATCTCAGTTCCCCTCCACTGGACTCACTTAAGTTTATCTTTACTTCTTTCTTGTACTGAGGGGCCCAAAACTGGGCACTGTATTCCAGATGTGATCTAATGAGTGCCGAGTAAAGGGGAGCAGGCACATCCCTTGACCAACTGACTGAGCTTCCATTGATGCAGTCCACTATGCTGGTGACTGTAGAAGAATTGTACTTGGTGTCCTTCATGTTCTTTGTGGGTGTGTGTAGAAATGCTTCATAAATATCTTGCATAATGCTGTTTATTTGTTTCTTAAAGAACGCCGTTACTTTTTTCCTTTGTCTTGCCCACTAGTAGTTAAAACAATTGACTGTACAAAATACTTAATTTTATTGTCACCAAGGACTGAACACAAACCTTTTTGTATAAATTTCCAATGGAAGTTGCTATAAACTTTTTACCCTACAGCTCCTGCCTGGTTTGTTACATTATTGTTGATAGCTGTCTCTTCTTAATAAATGCATTTCCTTTCAAAAAGAAGTGGTAGATAAGTGCTGGATTTCAAATCCTGTGTTACCATTAAGGCACTCATCTCCAGGCTTTATATTCAAGTTTACTTTCAAGGTTAATAGACCATATATGCCTGATTTGTGCCGAAGCAGCTCTCTGTAATGAGCTGTAACTGTTGTGTAATGTAACCATCATAAGCTTGGTATTGAATGTTTTGTTTCAAGCTGCTTGAAAAAAGGTCAGGGATAAGCTTTGAAAACAATAGGGACTCTTCTCAACTTGCAAAGTTTGTTGTATTTCTGTCTGTAAGATCTTAAATCTCATTGTTGTAAGTAGCAATGTGGAAAGTTACAAGTCTTGCTTAGTTGTTTACATGTACTACTGCCTTAGATACTAGCAAAGAAAAAATAAAATAGTAAAATTAGAAAGAATTACCAGTTCACAGCAGTTTTTGTAGGAAACTTGAAGATTTTGCCTCTTCCTTTTGATTCTATCAGCATTCCT